TCTTTCAGATGGAGTTTTGCTCTTGTTGCCCAGGCTGGAGTGCAATGGCACAATCTTGGCTCATTGCAAGCTCCACCTCTCAGGTTCAAGCGATTCTCCTGCCTCAGCCTCACAAGTAGCTGGGATTACAGGCACAGACCCCCATGCCCGGCTAATTTTTTGTATTTTCAGTAGAGACAGAGTTTCACCGTGTTGGTCAGGCTGGTCTCAAACTCCTGACCTCAGGTGATCCACCTGCCTCGGCCTCCCAAAGTGCTGAGATTCACAGGTGTGAGCCACCACACTCAGCCCATTTTCTTTTCTGTATTAATTTACTTAGGATAATGGCCTCCAGCTGCATCCATGTGGCTGCAAATGACAGGATTTCATTCCTTTTTATAGCTGCATGATTTTTCAGTTTAAACGTGTGAATGAGGCTTCCCAGGGAAATCTCCCACATTAGACAGAGCCCAGGGAGCAGGCACTCAGCCTGGAAGCCGAGGACCTTTCTCTGAGCTCCCAGAAGCCAGGCCAGGACACCAGGAGGGAAGTGGAAGAGGATCACAGAGCAGACAGGAAGTGGGAGGTGAGCGCTGGAGACAAATGCTTGGGGGACCACATAGCTCTGTCGGCACTGACCTTGGTTCCAGGGATCCCTGGTGGCCCTGGGGGCCCCTGTGGCCCGGGAGGCCCCTGTGTGTGAAAGTGAAGCCAGTCAGTGTCATTGGTTAGGCAGGGCCTCCCTTCGCTGCCTGCCCAGCTCCCCACCTGGAACAAGGTCCCCGTCCAGCTGAGCTGAGCAGGGGCAGGGTCCTCGGGGACTGCTTCTTCCCATCAGGTCAGGCCACACTGTGCATGGCTTTATCTGGCTACCCAGGTTTGGGGGAGGCCAGGAGGTGTCTGCTGCCATGAACGGCCCTCTGCCCCAATCCAGATTTCGTCACGATGTTCCCCTGCTTAAGATCTTGCTTTGGCTCCCTATTGCCTCTCGAAGCAAGCTTAAGTCCCCTGCTGGCATTCAAGGCCTGCCAAGAATGACATCCCCAACAGTGGCCCAGCGCCACCCTCTCTGACTGTCCTATGAGCTCTCTGACCCTCTGGCTCCACTGGCTGCTATCTGCTGGACCTAGGGAGTTCCTCAGTCTCGCAGATAGGGATGGGGTCTCCAGTGTGTCCAGGTCCGACCCCACTCTCAAGCTCCTGTCCTGACCCAGACTTTTTGCAGGCCCCCTGCTCGGCCTCCACACTCCCCTCCCCTCCCTTCTGTAAAACTGCACCCTGCCCAGCCCCTGTCCCACAAGCTCTAGGTCTCTCCCCTCCCGCCTCCCTGTCCTGTGCCCTTCTTGTTGGTGTCCCACTGAGATACCCCTGGCCTCCATCTTATCCACCCTCCTCTAGGCCCAGGCCCAGGACCTCCCTGCCTGGGGTCCCCCTACTGCCTGCTCCAACACCCGCTTTCGTTCACTGTCCTTACCATTCCCTAGCTAGCCTTCCCCCAATATGTTTTTATTTTTTATTTTATTTTTTTGAGATGGAGTTTCCCTCTGCTACCCAGGTTGGAGTGCAGAGGTGCGATCTCAGCTCACCACAACCTCCGCCTCCCGGGTTCAAGTGATTCTCCTGCCTCAGCCTCCCGTGTAGCTGAGACTATAGGTGCGCACCACCACACTCAGTTAATTTTTGTATTTTTAGTAGAGATGGGGTTTCACTATGTTGGCCAGGCTGGTCTCGAACTCCTCACCTTGTGATCCGCCTGCCTCAGGCTCCCAAAGTGTTGGGATTATAGGCGTGAGCCACCCACCTGGCATGTTTTTATTTTTTTAACATCATCCCCCACATGGACTATGTGGACTATGGCTGCCTGCTGCCCATCAAATTGAGTCAGCATGTCAGCCTGGCATCCAAAGTCCATCTCTGGCCAGGCATGGTGGCTCATACCTATAATCCCAGCACTTTGGGCGGCCGAGGTGGGCGGATCACTTGAGATCAGGAGTTTGAGACCAGCCTGGCCAACATGGTGAAACCCCGCCTCTATTAAAAATACAAAAATTAGCCCGGTGTGGTGGCACACACCTGTAGTCCCAGCTACTTGGGAGGCTGAGGCAGGAGAATTGCTTGAACCTGGGAGGGAGAGGCTGCAGTGAGCCGAGATCACACCCAGCCTGGGCAACAAGAGTGAAACTCCATCTCAAAAACAAAAACAAAAATAAAAACAAAACAAAGTCCACCTCCCAACTTCCTGTACTCACAGGCTCAGTCAGCCTGGGACACACCATGCATGTGCCTGCCACGCCATGCCACGCCACACCATGCCACGCCACATCATGCCATGCCACGCCACACCACGCCACACCATGCCACACACCATGCCATGCCACGCCACGCCATGCATGCCTGGGGGTGGGTGCCACAGTTACTGCCAACTTGCACTTCCCCAAAGCCTGTGGGACATAACTGGAAATGATGCTTAGGTGGGGCCAGGGCCCCCTTCCCGGTCTGGTCTCTGGCGACCACTCCTTCCTCACCCACTTCCCTTCTGGGGTACCCATGAGCTGCTGGCACCCAGTGCCTCTCTCCACTGGTGGTAAGTCCCAAGTTTACTAGCCACTGGGCTCGGGGGTCACACATCTCCCAAGACTCCGGGGGCCGGGCTTGCCACTCTCATCCTCTCCATGACATCATTAGAAGACCTGGCCCTCTACCCAGTGTCCCTTCCACCCAGTGTCCTCTGGGAAAGTCCCAGGAGACACCGGTGGGAACAGACCCCAGGAAATGCTCTGGCTCCTGCCCCTGAGCGAGGAGCTTCCCTTTTTGACTTGGCCTCTAGGGAGCTCGGTCCACATGGGCCACATTCACAGGGGCTCTCTGAGGCAGGTCTCGACATAGCCCTGATTTCCACATCGGACACCTAGGAACGGTTGGGGTCTTTGTGCTAAGCTGCCTCGAGTCCCTTGTGTAAAAAAGTGCAGCATTAATCACAAGGAAGTGATTATTCCCTAAGGAAAATCATATCTAAGGCACATCCTGGTCCCACCAGGAACACTACCTTGAGGGCATCCAAGATCCTGCCATCATAGTCGATCACCACTGTGTCTCCCTGCTCGCCCTTGAGGCCTGGGGCACCCTGAGGCAGGAAGAAGAGTAAGACTTTCAGGGAAGAGCTACGCTGGGGGGCGAAGTGGCAGCTGTCCCTGCGTCACACCCGGAGACAAAGCAATGGAAGAGCCTTGTCACCCAGGCCACACGCATGCTCCTCCCCAGTGTGGATCCCAGCGTGGGAGGGCAGGGGAGGCGGGCCCTGGGGCCGGCTGAGGGACCTGCTTCCACCTGGTCTGAGGGGCGGCTGGAATTGCCTTCGTGTGGGCGTTCAGGCCTGACCCGATCCTCGGGGGAAAATGGAAAGCCTGATTTTGATGTGACGCGCTTCAGATTTTTAAATGTTGGCAACACACAGAAAAGCCCCAAACCCTCCGAAACACACAAACATGAGCAGGCTGGATCGGGCCCGTGCCTCCATTTCCCAGCCTCTGGTAGAGGCTGCACACACCGCGCACCCACACGCCTATTCCCGCCTGGTTACAGGTGCACGTAAGCGTGCCCATGCCCATGCTGCACACTCAACGTGCACACTCAACGTGCACGCAAGGCTGCTGGCCAGCCCTCCCCTCGTGAGCCTCACTCCCCACCCAGGCTGCTCTTTGCTTGGGGTACGGTGAAGGGTGGGGAGCACTTTGGTTCAGGCCCGAGCCGATCCCTTGTGCAGGCTGGAGACCCCTGCCTGGGCCTCCCCCGTCCCGTCACAGCCTGCCCAGAACAGCCTGGCTCACTGGCTGCCTAATCCAACCCTCTCCCGCTCCCCACCACCTGCACAGCCAGGCAGGGGCTCAGATCGTTTTTTTGGAGGAAGAAGCCAGCCTCCCGGAGCACGAGGAGACAGAGCCGAGGCCAGGATCCTGGACGTCACCCTAAAGGTAAGGTATGTTGATAGGGGCTGGTCACAAAAGATCTGAGGCGGGCTGGGGCACTGTGCTCCTGGTGGCAGGGACAAACCTCCCTGTGGGGTGGGGAAAAGGCAAGGCCCAGCCCACTGCGGCAGGATCAGGCACAGGACAGACGGAGGACCTGTGTCTGAATATATAGAGAAAGGAATTTAGATGGGCACGCGCTCGAGGGGACTGAGCGAGATCTGGCCTCATAATAACGGGTCGGGCCTCTTATTCTTACACTTCCATATGTGAACATTGTACCCAAAAAAGGCACGTACTATGAATTTTCAAAAATCACAAATACATTGGTTTAAAAAGTAAAATCCTCCCAGTCCCTGTAGCTCCACTGCTCCTCTGGGGTCTCTGTGGGGACAGGGGCTTCTGAAGCTATGGGGACCCTAGATCTCATCCCTGAGGCCTTGCCTGAGAGGCGGCAGCTTACCCGGGGCCCTGCAGCTCCGTCCGTGCCTCGGTGGCCAGGCTCCCCCTGTGGAGATACACGGTGCAGGTGTGAAGCCAAACCACGCCTCCCAGTCCCCTCTTCCCAGGAGGGCCCAGGTCCCAAGTGCTGGAGCCTTCGCAGCCGAATGTATGAGACAGCACTCCAGGAATGGGGCTCCCGGAGGGGCCTGCGAGACCCTCCTCTGACATCACTTTGCATAGAGGTGGGGACGCTGGTGTCCCGGAGCTGGAGGCTGCATGGTGAGTTGGCCACAGAGCTGGGCACCAGTGGAGGCCTTGCCACTTGTCCAGATTCACCACTGCTGCCCCCACACCAGCTCCGACAGTGCTGAAGGAGACCCCTGGGCCAGGTCCTCCTGGGACTCCTCACTTAAAAGGGCAAATGAGAGCTGAGACCACGTCTCCCACTCTCGACTGGGGGAAGGTCTGAGCAGGGCCCACAGGTGCCAGAGCAGCAAGTTCTCACGTCACCTTTGGTCCTGGGGCACCACCCACGCCACTCTCGCCCTGAGGCCCCTCGCTCCCTGGCTCGCCCTGAAATAGAAACAGTTGCAGTGAAAGCAAGTGTGAGCGGGCACGTGGCAGGTGCCTTGGGGCTGCCCGAAGCCTTGCGATTAGGCCTCCTGGCAAATTGTTACTGAGTCCATGGGGTGTGTGCGCGGATGGACCTCAGGGCTCTCGCTAGCCCAGGGGACACAGGACCACGGCTGCCACCTTCTGGTGTGGGCCTTGGCACTTACTTGGGGCAGCTCAGGGGCTCAAGGGGCACTTTGGAGACTGGCTGGCCAGGATTTGGTGGCTGTTGTGAGGGGTTGGGGGAGTGAGGCATGAGGATGACACCCAGTTCTTGGCTTGGGGACACGGCAGGAAGTGAGGCCCTTGAGACGGAAACGAGGGCTTGAGGGAGTCAGGGAGACACATGGACTGGGTGAGACGCTAGGCCTGTCGTGTGGTGGTGCCAGGGCCTTCCTCTGCCTCTCTCTGGCCTGCACCGGGCACTGGCCTAGGACCTCATGGTGCCAAAAGTCCAGGGTAGGGACTTCACCAGGCAGACGAGAACCATGGGAGGTGGGGGCAGCGGGCCATGAGGGGAGGGGCAGATACTCACCTTGGGCCCTGGTGGTCCAGGGAGCCCTGGTGGTCCAGGCTGGCTTGGTGTCCCATCGTCGCCCTGAGGAGAGGACACCTGGGGCTTGCCGGTCAGACCCTCGGGTGACCAGTGGGCCCCTCCCTCCTCTGGGCTTCCCAGTATACCAGTCTGCTCCTGGCACCTGCACTGGCACACGGTACCAGGCAGCTCATCCCCACCCTCCTTGCCCCTCCAGAGCAGAGGTGGGGTCAGATCCATCTCTCTGTGTCGCCTGACCTCACCAGCCCAGGGCTGGCATTTGCAGAGAGAACGGATAGGCAGATGATGAGGGTACATTCATCCATTCATTCCCCCTGTGGGCCAGGCAGCTGAGGTCCCTGCTCAGGTGGAGTCAGAGGAGGCCAAGGGAAAAGAAACGTTCAAATAAATACAAGGTTGGCTGGCACGGTGGCTCACGCCTTAACTCCAGCACTCTGGCGGGTCAAGGCGGGGAGACTGCTTGAGCCCAGGAGTTTGTGACTGTAGTGCCCCATCATGGCACCTGTGAATAGCCACTGCACTCCAGCCCGGGCAACAGAGCAAGACTCCATCTCTACAAAAACCAGAAAATAAAAAATTAGCCAGGCATGGTGGCACACGCCTGTAGTCCCAACTATTTGAGAGGCTGAGGTGGGACAATTGCCTGAGGCTGCAGGGAGCTGTGATCATGCCATTGCATCACAGCTTGGGTGACAGAGTGAGATCCTATCATATATATATATATATACACACATACACATACACACACACACACACACACACACACGCAAATAAATTCTAGGCACCATGTCAGGAAGCGGAGTAGTGTTGAGAAGAGAAGAGGATGGCATGGCGGAGAGGGACTGCAGGGGGAGCTTGTTGCAGCAGGTGGCCAGGGAAGGTCTCCTAGAAGATGGGAGAGGTTTTTTTTTTTTTTTTTTTCCGTAAGATGGAGTCTCGCTCTGTTGCCCAGGCTGGAGTACAGTGGCACAATCTCGGCTCACTGTGAGCTCTGCCTCCTGGGTTCACGCCATTCTCCTGTCTCGGCCTCCCGAGTAGCTGGGACTACAGGCACTGGCCACCACGCCCGGCTAGTTTTTTGTATTTTTAGTAGAGATGGGGTTTCACCATGTTAGCCAGGATGGTCTCGATCTCCTGACCTCGTGATCTGCCCGGCTTGGCCTCCCAAAGTGCTGGGATTATAGGCATGAGCCACCGCGCCTGGCCTGATTTTTTGGTTTTTGAGACAGGGTCTTGCTCTGTTATCCAGGCTGGAGTGCAGTGGCACAATCCATAGCTTACTACAGCCTCGACCTACCAGGCTTAAGCAATCCTCCCACCTCAGCCTTCAAAGTAGCTGGGACAACAGATGCATGCCACTGCACCTGACTAGTTTTTCTGATTTCTAGTAGAGATGAGGTCTTGGTGTATTGTCCAGGGTGGTCTTTTTTTGTTTTTTTGAGATGAGTCTCACTCTGTCACCCAGCAGGTTGGAGTGCGGTGGTACAATCTTGGGTCACTGCAACCTTCGCTTCCCGGGTTCAAGTGATTCTCCAGCCTTAGCCTCCAGAGTCGCTGGGACTACAGCCGCCTGTGACCACGCCTGGCTGATTTATTTTTGGATTTTTAGTAGAGATGGAGTTTTGCCATGTTGGCCAGGCTGGTCTTGAAGTCCTGATCTCAAGTGATCCTTCTGTCTTGGCCCCTGAAGTGCTGGGATTGCAGGTGTGAGCCAGTGCACCTGCTGGCCTTGGGGGAGGGTTTTGCTGAGACCTGAATGAGGTGAAGGAGGAGGCTGGCCCAGGAGAAGAGGCTGGAGAGGATAACACTCATTCAGTGGTTTTAAGCTTGAGCTCACCTCAGTGGCACCAGGGGCTGGTCAAACCGACTCTGGCCCCATCCCAGAGTCTCTGATTCAGTGGGTCTGGGGTGGGTCCCAGGGCCACACTTTGAGAACTAGTGTGCTCAGCCCTGAAGTGGGCATGAATTTGATGTGTTTGAGGAAGGGAAAGAATGAGTGAGTGAATAAATGAATGAATAAAATAAATTCTGGCCTCACAGAGAGCGAGGACAGGGCCGCCACCCGCAGTGAGGGCTCAGGTCTGGGGAAGACAAGGCCACTTTCCCCGTGGGTTGGCTCCCACCCCACCCCATCCTGTCCCCATCCCCATCCCCATTCCATCCCAGCCCCTGCCCTTCTCTCCAGCCACCTCCCAACACTGACCCGGACGCTCCTCCATCGGCCCCTCTCACCTTCTTTCCGGGTACTCCAGGCTCACCCTGGGGGAGGCAATGGGGGGTTCAAGAGCAAGGTGAGAGCCGCAGGAGTGTGGCCCGGACCCCAGGCCTCTTGTTCCTCGGGTAGAAGTGGCACTGATGACCCGTGCCCCGGGCCAGCCCAGAGACCCCTGAGTGCTTCAGAGAGCTGGGGCGGACAGTCTTGAATTCCACTTCTGAGCCACTCACTCCCAAGCTCAGCGACCCTGGCAAGGCACTGTTCTTCAAAGGGGGGAGGTGACTCCTGCCGTCTCAGAGCGTTTTGGAGGACGAGGCACTGGCTGAGCAGCTTTCTCATCCTTCCTCCTCAGGTCAGAGGCTCCGTCTCCATCAGGGAGGACCAGAGCCCTCCTCCCCACTCACATCCTCCCCAAAGAGGGCAAAAATGAAAGAGCTGCCATCTGCAGAGGGCTGGACACGCTAACACGTGGAAAACTGTGTCCACATGAAAACCTGCACATGGATGCTGACGTCAGCTTTACTCCAAATTGCCAAAACCTGGAAGCAGCCAACATGTCCTTCAGTAGGTGAGTGCATAAATAAATAAACTGTGGCTTATCATTAAATAAATAATAAACCCAGACATGGACTATCAGTCAGTGCTAAAAAGGAATGAGCTGTCAAGCCATGAGAAGACATGGATGAAAGGTCAATGTGTACTACTAAGTAAAAGAGGCCAATCAAAAAGGCCACACACAGTCTGATTCCAGCTAGATGACACTCTGGGAAAGGCAAAACTATGGAGACAGTGAAAAGAGATCAGTGGCCGAGCACGGTGGCTCACACCTGTAATCCCAGCACTTTGGGAGGCTGAGGTGGGTGGATCACCTGAGGTCAGAAGTTCAAGGCCAGCCTGACCAACATGGTGGAACCCCATCTCTGCTGAAAATACAAAATTAGCCAGGCGTGGAGGGGCGCGCCTGTAATCCCAGCTACTTGAGAGGCTGAGGCAGGAGAACTGCTTGAAACCAGGAGGCAGAGGTTGCAGTGAGCCGAGATTGTGCCATTGCACTCCGGCCTGGGCAACAAGAGTGAGACTTCAACTCAAAAAAAATAAAAAATAAAATAAAATAAAAAAATAAAATAAAAGGATCAGTGGTGCTGGGGCTAGGGAGAACGAGGGATGAACAGGCAGAGAACAGAGAATGTTTAGGGCAGGGTAAATACTCCATGACACCACAGTGGTGGATACTTGTCAACACACATTTGTGCAAATCCGGAGAGTACCCCAGCAAGAGTGAACCCTAATGTGAACAATGGCATCTGGGTGATGGTGATCTGTCCATGCAGGCAAATCATCTCTAACAAGTGGGGGTACTCATAGCTGGGGAGCGGGGGCATGGGCCGGGGCAAGGGGATATGGAAACTCTGTACTTTGTTTAGTTCTGTTGTGAAACAAAAACTGTTCTAAAAACAAAATCTATTTGGGCCAGGTGCGGTAGCTCACACCTGTGATCCCAGCACTTTGGGAGGCCAAGGTGGGCGGATAACCTGAGGTCAGGAGTTCGAGACTAGCCTGGCCAACATGGTGAAACCCCGCCTCTCCTAAAAATATAAAAAATAATCATGGTGTGGTGGCGCACACCTGTAGACCCAGCTAGCTACTCAGGAGGCTGAGGCAGGAGAATTGTTTGAACCCAGAAGGTGGAGGTTGCAGTGAGCTGTGATCGTGCCACTGCACTCCAGCCTGGGTGACAGTGAGGCTCTGCCTCAAAATAATAAAAAATTTAAAAAAAGGGAAAATGTATTTGAAACCAAAAAGCTAATGTGTTTTATGATTCAACTCTCGCAACTCAGTGTGAAAAAGGCAGGAGAGGTTTACTGTGCCTCCAGTTAATGGATGGGTAAACTGAGGCCCAGAGAGGTGCAGTGACTTGCCCATGGTCTGGGAGTTTGGTCTCCTGACCCTACTGCCTTGGCTTCGCTGGGGGTGGGGGGAAGAGAAAGGAGGTGGTGGTGGGTGAGTCCATCCCACCAGATCTGGGGAGGGGCATGGGGAATGAGGAGCACTCACCTTGGGCCCTGGGGGTCCCTTCGGGCCCTGGAACAAGAGAAGAGAAGGTGTTAAATGTCATACTGGAGGCTGATCCTGGGCCTGTCCTTCTTAGCATCCTGGCTTTGTAAAAGGTGACACCAATCCCACAGACCAGGAGGCAGGGCTGCCGTCAGAAGCAGGCTGGAGCTGCCCACCCTAGGCCTGACTCCTCAAGCCTGGGACAGCTTCTGCATTAGGGCTCAGGCGGTGGCAAGTGGCCCACAGCCTCCACACAGGAATGTGGAGCTACTGGAATTCCCTCCGACTGGTGTCTCGCCTGGCCATGTCCCCAGGGTGGGTGGAGGGGCAGGTGCACGGGGTGCACACACATGCAGACATGTACATGCAGAGGCGTGCACACACACACACGGGCGCGTGACCCTGCTGTCAGCGTGTGTGGGAAAAGGGCTTCCAGGTCTGGGAACCACAGTCCTGCCAGCCCAGGCCTCTGGAATGCCCTGGATACTGACCATCTCGCCGTCTTGTCCAGGCTCTCCTTTGGGGCCCTGCGGAAGTGTGAGGGGACAGCAGTGAGGGATGCAGGTCGTCACATTGAACTGAGCTCAAATCTCAGGCCAGACCCTGGGCTGGGGCTCTAAGTACATTGTCTCATTTCATCCTCGCCAAACCTGAAGAGCGAGTATCAGGGTCCCCACTCCACAGAAGAGAGCGTTAGGCTGGGGAAGCCACTGGCCTGGCGTGACAAGTAATGGATGAGCCAACTGAGCAGCTGTCCTGGGGGAAACCGGTGGCAGTTTGGTGGGGGATCCATCTGACTGGGGGGGGACCCTGGTGGCAGTCTGGTGGTGGTGTGGCCTCCACACTGGAGGGAAGGACAGGCTGGGGTTTCTGGGTTAGGGAAAGGGTAGTAGGATGGGGCCTGGCCTCCAGGCTTTGGAGACGCTTGGGAGGAAAGCTGAGGCTGAGATATTATATTGGGGAGCGCGAGGGGAGGGGCTGATAAAGGTCTGCAGAGACAGTGCCCCCAGAAGGGTCTTAGGCTCAGGGTTGAGTCAGGATTGGGACTGGGATTGCAACTAAGGTCACCTTAGGGTGTCTGGGTCTATCTGAGGTTAGAGTTGGTTTGGTCAGCGTCAGAGTCTGGAAGGGTCAGAGTTAGGGTCTGAATTGGGGGTGTAGACCAGGATTTGGGAATGAGTTTGAGGTCAAGGTCTTGATTGGGATCAGAGACCCAGTTAGTGTTAGATTTAAGGTTCGAATGGGATAAGGGTCTGGGTTGAGGTTAGGGTTGGGTTTGGGTCTGGGGTCAGGGTCAGGATCTGAATTGGGGTTGGATCTTGGTTGGAGTTAAGTTTGGGCCCAGGTTCAGCATCTGGATTGGGGTTAAGGCTGGCGTGGGGTCTGCACTAGAGACGGGGATGGGGATGGGGCTGGCTCTGGAATCCGGATTTGGGGTTTTGGTCAAGTTCTGGGTGGCCAAACTCCAGGCCCTCTCTTACCATTGGGCCTTGTGCTCCCCTGGGGCCATCTTTCCCGGTGTCGCCAGGAGGGCCCCGGGCCCCAGGAGGTCCAGGGGGCCCCGGAGGCCCAGCAGCTCCATCTTGTCCTTGGTCTCCCTGAAAGAGATGGGGCTTGGCATGACTCTGAGCGGGAGGGGGTCCAGCCTCCCGAGAGAAACCCTCAGATGGGCAGCCCCACGCCATCCCCTTTCCCAGCCCCTGGGGCAGGCTCAAAGGGGAGGGCTTTGTGACTGGGCCTCTTGCCACTTACTGGGGACTGCACGACCGAACAGATCCCCATACTTTGGTGTCAGAGGCCCTACGGGACCTTTTACAGGCCAAGGAATGTGCCAGCTCTTCAGCACCTGAAGCCCAGATCCAGTGTTTAGGAGAGAGATGGCACATGCTGCATGTGGGGGGAAACACGCGTGTCCAGCTGCCCCTTCCTCTCTCTAGAGTGGGGCCTGAGTATCTCCTGAAGGACCTTCCTGGAGGACCTTTTTTTTTTTTTTTTTTGTCAACTCTCGCTTCATTTGAAGTACGGAGGTGCACTCTTGGGCATTTATCCTTGTTCACAGCTGCTTGGTTAGTAACGGCCCCAAACTGGAAACCAATCCAAAAGTCCTTCAGTAGGTGGAAGGTTAAGGAGCTGGGGTACGTCCACGTCATGGAACACAACTCAGCAATCAACCCAGAGGAACAGGCCACGACACATGCAACACCTCAGATGCATCTCAGGAGAATTACGCTGAGTGAAACAGTCCATCTCAAGAGCTTAATACGGTGTGGTTGTATCTACGTAACACTCTTGAAATGGCAACGTTATAGAGATGGAGAACCCATACTGGTTGCCAGGCATTAGGGATGGGGGGATGAAGGTGATTGTAACTACAAAAGAACAGCATGAGGGACCTTTGTGTGCTTTACACAGATCTACAAGTGTGTTAAAATTGCACAGAACTAAACACACAAACGAGTGTGTGTACAGCTGGGGGCATCTGAATAAGGTTGGTGGATTGTATCAATGCCAATTTCCTGTTGTGAGATTGTACTCAGAGATGCAAGATGTCACCACTGGGGGAGACTGGATGAAGGGTACACAGATGTTATTTACTACAATTACATGTAAATCTACAATTGTCTCAAAATAAAAGTTAAAAAAAAATGATGATGCAGGGCCACACAGTTTCTCTCATGCAGCACTAAATCCCCAACTTTAGAACTTGATGTTAGCACTGGGTCAGACCTCAGGCAGCCAGAGCCCCACCTCATAGCCCAACCCGAGAGGAAGGAAGACCACTGTGACTGGCATCTACCCACTGCCCCAGCAGGGCCCACCCTGCACTGGCACAGGGTGGAGCCACAGGAATGGAGTACACCCACGTCATGGTGTCAGTGGCCCTCAACCTTCTTGTAACAAAGAAAGGAAGACCTAGCACTGAGCTAGCAAGGATATCCTGAAGATGATTTTTTTTTTTGGAGACAGAGTCTCTAGCTCTGTTGCCCAGGCTGGAGTGCAGTGGCACAATCTTGGCTCACTGCAACCTCCACCTTCCAGGTTCAAGCGATTCTCCTGCCTCAGCTTCCCGAGTAGGTGGGATTACTATTATTATCATTATTTGTATTTTTAGTTCAGACGGAGTTTCACCATGTTGGCCAGGCTGGTCTCGAACTCCTGACCTGAAGTGATCTGCCCGCCTTGGCCTCCCAAAGTGCTGGGATTACAGGCGTGAGCCACCGCACCCGGCCGAACATGATCTTATTCAACCTTTGCGATGAGTTGACCAGGGCACTGTTATTGTCCCACTTTACAGATGGAATGGCTGGGGTTGGGGGTCAGAGGGTCAGTTGCCCAGGGTTACAGAGCTAGGGAAGGCGGAGCCTCCTCTCACTGCCAAGGCAAGAGGTCCCTCTGAGACACTTCTTTTCATCCACAGATGTTCCCTGATCTGAAATAGTTCACCTCTCTAGCAAACTGCACGTAACACAAATTCACTTGCTTTCCCAATTAAAAAATCAGCAGAAGTTCTCAACACCCGCCACTCAGGTCTTCCTCCTGGTCTGGCATGGCCAGGGTCCTGATCAAAATGTTACAGCTCCAGCCGAAAGGGAAGAAAACTGACAGCTTGGTTAGGTCACCAGGCATGGGTGGTGATGGTGACAGGTAATTCCTGTTTTAATCTGCACTGAATCAGGAAGAATTTGAAGACACCCCCTTAGCTCCCTGCTGTTCCTTTTATAAAGGCCCTCAGGCTGGGAACTACTGGCCTGGACTCTACTTATTAAGACAGAAAATGGGCCTGACACTGGAGCCGGTCCTGGGAGAGGTTCTTAGGCTCTTTCCCGGCCAGCCCGCCTGCTCCTCCCTCAGGGTAGGATGGCTGAGGTCTAACTCTGCAAACGTGGGGTGAGTTGGGGGTAACACAGCAAGTCATCAGGCCCAGGCCCCCACTCAGGCATTCTACCTTGAGGATCCGGCGATTGTACAGGTGATGGTCTCTACTCATAAAGCCCGGATTGAGCCGTGGGAAAACCATCTAGTCAGCAGACAGGTCGTGTGGTCAGAAAGGCAGGAAGGTGATTTGAAAAACCACAAGGCTTTTTGAAACCTGGAGGCAAAGCCACTTAACCAAGCCCAGAGAAAGGCAAGTAGGTGATCAGTGTGCAGACTCCTTCTCCAGGGAGGGCCGCTCACCAGTGGAATGCCCACCAGCATCCACGTCACCCGCGGCCACGGGACGGGCTCCCGGCCTGGCTGCCGACAACCTCCCGAGAGAGCCTAAGCCTAACCCAGGGGACATGAGAGAGAATGGCAATTGGAGTCTTAAGCCACTATTTAAAATTTTTTTTTTTGGAGACAGTCTCGCTCTGTCGCCCAGGCTGGAGTGCTGTGGTGCCACCTCGTCTCACTGCAACCTCTGCCTCCCGGGTTCAAACCATTCCCTTGCCTCAGCCTCCCGAGTAGCTGGGACCACAGGCGCCCACCTCCACACCCTGCTAATTTTTGTATTTTTACTAGAGACAGGGTTTCACCATGTTGGTTAGGCTGGTCCCGAACTCCTGACCTCAAGTGATCCACCTGCCTCGACCTCCCAAAGTGCTAGGATTAAGGCACGAGCCACTGTGCCCGGCCATTAAGCCACTAAACTTTGTGTGTGTGTGTGTGTGTGTGTGTTGGGGGGTGATGTTCCCGATGACTGGGACACTGGGAACATAGGGAAGGTATCCATGAAGAGGGCTGGGGGCTTGGGAGGAGATCCCCTCTTCCATGACCTCTGGGCCTCAGGACTTCTAGTCTGTTGAGGAGAGGGCATCCGCTTTGGATTATCAGCTCCACACACCCACCAGGAAGCAAGCAGAAGGATTTTTCTCAGCAGCTAAAACTCAGCACGAGACCCTTTCTTTGACTGCAGAGCAATCTCACCAGCTTTATGTGGCTGGCACAGAGCAGCTGTGTCTGTGGGGCTTGGCCTGGCCAGCCCCCTTCCTTGCTCCTGCTCACAGCTCAGGGCCGCAGAGGTACGGCGCAGGCGCCCAGCCAGCCCTGACCACAAGCTGCAGCCCCGCTCTGCACTGCCGCTCCCACTACCTTTTCATTCCCACAACAACCTCTTGGGGTGGGGGCTGTCCTCCCGTTCACAGTTGAAGAAACTGAGTCTCAGGGAGCAGAGTGACTTGATCAGGGTCACTCAGCTGGCAGGTGGCAGAGCTGAGCTTTGAGCTCAGTTCTGCTGACCCCAGAGCCTTCCTTCTTTTTGGGGTGCCAGCTGTCCTCAGTCTCCAGTCTGGGTCACGTGCCAGCCCCACTGTCCAGCATCCACAGTGGTAAGCATGGAGACCTGGACATCTTCCAGAGACACCCACCTGCGCAAGAGGCGGCAGCCCCACGACCCAGGTCCCTGGGGGCTTCCACCGGTGCTATGGGTGGGGAAGGGGCCTCTTGGCCTTTCTGTGATGAGCTGCAGGGAGCCAGGACCCAGAAGCAGCGCCAGTTATGCCTAATTATTAAGTCAAACAAACCATATGGGCAGTGAGGGAGGTCATGCCTGGTTCTTACCCGGGGGCCAAAGTCTCCTGGTGCACCCTAGGAACAAAAGACATGGAAAGGTATCACCACTGCTTTCATCATTTCCTCCCATTTCCCGTCAAGCATCTGTGCCCAGTGCTTCATAGACATGGTATGACTTAATTCTAACAAAAATAGCAGGCAGGCTCTATTTTTATTTCCATTTCCAATGAGGAAGCAAACACAGTGAGGCCACTTAACCTGCTCAAGGTCACACAGCTAGCGGATCTGGGGCTTGTAGGCAGGTGTTCCCTTATCTCAGGGCAGTCCCAGCCATTCGAGGCCCCAGATATTGTGGAGCAGAGACAGCCCCTCCCACTGTGTCCTCTGGAAGGGATGCTAATGAGTAAATGCTGCTTTACACCACCAAGTTTTGGGGCAGTGCATTAAGCAGCAATAGACACCAAGACACCAGTTCTCTCTGGTTTCACAGCCCCTGATGGAATCACTTCTATGACGTGGTGGCATCAGCCAAGGCCAGTGGGAAGGTAATCAGGCCACCTGCCAACTGCACTAGTCTCTCATCATTGGCAAGAACATTGAGACCATGACCTCATGCAATCTCTCCTGTGGCTCGGTGAGATTGGTCTCCATTTACAGATGGGGAAACTGAGGCCCACAGAGCCTGGCAACTTGGCCAAAGCCACACAGTTGGTGGTGGAGCTGGAATGCAAAGCCGAGGTTCTGAACACCAGCTCCCAGGCCTCCCCACGGCTCCCTCAGCCCTGGTGGTTGGGTGGGAACCCTGCCTGCCCTGGCCTGAGCTGCCGAATCACACACGGCAGGGCCCATCTGCAGCTCTCACCTCCCATTTCCAAATTCTGCATCAGGGGTGGACGTGGTCCAGCTGTGGGAGCACCCAGCTGGCCCTGGCACATCTAGGCCTGCTCTGACCCCTCCCCTGATTTTACCGTGGGTAACACAGGTCTCTTCTGTCCCCTTCTGAAGCACTTGGTCCCTGGTTTCTAGGGGGCTTTAGTGCCTGATGCCAGGGAAGCCTTCCTCCCAAGGGGCCGCAGAGGTAGCTCTCCGCCATGTCTTCCTGAGGGGTGCCCTCCCCACAGAGAATACCATTAACAGTCATGGTTCAATCCCCCAGCCCTCCTGGCACCTCCCCTTCACCATGAAGTCCTCTGGACACTCGTCATTCTGGGAACACTGGGCCTCCGAGTTTGGTTATGCTTTGGTCCCAGGAGAACTCAGACTCAACTCTCCGTATTGTCAAGTGTAAGCCTTGTAACCCTTTTAGAAGGTAGGCACGGTGATTCCCACTCTACAGATGGGGAAACTGAGGCTCTAGGAGGGGCTGTGAGGTGCTCGAGGGTACACTGGAACGGGGTTCGGAGGCAGGTTTCTGGGATTCTTCGCATCTGCACAGCCTCTGGTTTCACTTACCTTTTCCCCTTTCGGGCCTGGAAGTCCCTGGAGAAGGAAAGTGGAGAAAGAACAGGCCTGAGTGAGGGGCCCAGGCTGGCTCCCCTTCTGGCTTCCCTGTACCTCTGAGGGCAGAAGGGCCTGTGATGCTGAGCAGAACTTTGGGCGGCTGAGTGGAAAATTACACACAAGCTGTCAGCATCAGTGACAGCTGCCCTGGCTGGCCCAAGGAAGCTCCACACCTCGGTCCTCAGCATGAGGGATATGGGGGACTTGGGGGTGACCAGCAAGGGCCCACTGGCATCCTCATAGCAGAGAAAGGTGCGCATGCACTGGCCACTCCTCCCAGAGAGCGCACACGGTCCCCCACTGCTCAGCTCCCACCCTGTCGTTGTCAGTGGGAGGCCACTGCCCCCAAGCCATCTTTCTGGAATCTGAGAAGCAGGCAGTAGAGAGATTCTCTCTCCAGAGGCATTTTCTTCTTCTTTTTTTCTTTCTTATTTCTTCAAAAAAAAAAAAAAAAAAAAAGCATTCTCTTCTTTAATGGTAGCAGCTCCTTGGAGTATGGGCTCCATCTGTCCATCCCTGTATGAGT